CTTATACACATCTAGATGTGTATAAGAGACAGGTTGTATTCACACCAAAACTCACACGGTTTCATTGTTTGTGTTTTTTTTTTTTTTTTTTTTTTTTTTTTTTTCATGCCCCGCCAGGGAGGCACGGCGCAGCCCACGGGCCTCTGACACTTTGTGGAGGAGGGCATGCCCACACTAATACTTTGCAGAATTTATGAACCCGCTTTCCCACCCTGAGTTCAGTTTCGTTTTTTTTCCCCCCTCTTCCTTCTTTCGTGGACCTGACACCCTTGCCGTAACGCCCTCACTGAGGGCATACTCACACAACGACTTTGCGCAAGGTATCTACCAGGTATCACATCCAAAGGGGTATTTGTTTTTTTTCTTCTTTTATTTTCTTTTTTGCTGCAAATAGGTTGTTTGTTGAAAGTCCGGCCATGCTTTTTCTTTTTTCTGTCCAGGAGAGTACCAGAAAAGAAACAAAATGAAACCCAGGCTCTGCAAAACTCAGTGCGCAGTGAAAATCAGGGTCGGCAAAAACAGGCTCGGAGGTAGTGGTGGTTTAACACAGTATCATCTAAAATTCTAAATATGTAAATATGTTCAGGGGAATTAGTAGTGCCCAGTTGCTTCTTAGACTGCTACAGCAAGCCATAGTCTCTGGCAGTGGGTGCACGACATACCCGACGGCCAGCCATTTATTACCTTGGTTGGGTAGGCCCTTGCAAACTGGAGTGTCCTTTATGGCAGCGCTGGTGATTGCACACAGCTTCTGACAGAACGAGATCGCATCATGCACATAACCGCACACATATTGTCGTGGTGTGAAAGGATCTGTTGCTTTGGCTTCTTTTTTTCCCTTTCTTTTTTTGTTTCTTAAACAGAGCCATATGGCTCCGGCTCCGTATCTATTCTGGGGAGCGTTAGTCCGTTTCCTCTTCCACCGGCAAGTCAGAATAGACTGTACACCACATACCAGCATGCCGGACTCTGACAAGAAAATCCCTCTTCACAGCGAGACCCTTCCTTTTCTGGGAGCCAGCAGCCTAGTTGGTTTTCCATCACAATGTCAGAGTACCACTTATGTTGCTTCTGTTGCTTCTTCGTTCCTTTCTTCTATTTCTGATCCATATTATTCTGAGTTTCTTTTATTTTTTCAATCTCATTCTGACAAGTTTCTGTGCTCCTCTGACACAAGGATTCTCTGACGGCTGAATGACACATGGAAGGAAAAAACATGAATGGACTTCCTTACCGTATGGGCATACAATTTCACCGGCAAGCAATTCAATATACTTGCCGGACACACTCCATAACACACTCCATAACACACTACAGTGTTACACGCAATGAACAAAATGGGAACGGACTTTCATGGGTTCAGACATCCGAATTTTCGTTTAGTTTTCCGGGTCCAGTGTCAGCTCTCTGGCTCAGAGGAGTTCTCCTGAGAATGGACCCACATCTACCGGACTGTCGCAACAAGGTCGAGTTCGACAGTTGATTCCCTTGCTTGGGACATCTACGGGTCTGTCTCAAAAAGTGCCAAAACGGCCCAAAACCCTTCTTCTCAGCCTTTTGGCTAAGTAAGATCAATTGTAGTCTCTGTTCTGATCA